ACTCACTGGGTCACTAACCAAGACCCCAACCCTAATTTTGATGTTCACCCAACTCTAACCCCCTGCTAAGACTGGAAATACTCTTCTGATCAGGTCCTGAAGCCCCTGCAGCCCCTCCCGATCCTGCCTCCCACAGTTCCCAAAGCCCTCAAAGCCCCACCACCACCACCACAATCCCAGCCTTCATAGCTTCCTCCCCACCTCTAAATCCAAAGAGGTTTGGGCTGGGACTCACTGAGAAGCCTTGGGCCCCGGATTTCAGAGGCTACAAGGGGACCCTCAGGCCCTGCCCTGTCCTGCACCTCCTCCTGGCGCTGGCATACCAACGGCCTTGTCACTTGGTTTGGGGGTTCAGGGAGCTGGTCTGGCCTGTCTCTGACTCTACTTCAGGAGGGCCCCTCCTCAGGCCCACAGCTCAAGGCCACTGTCAGCCCTTTGTAGCTGTGACCCATGACAGGGAGCAGGAGAGGAGAGACACCCTGTGCCCTGGGAAGGCGCCAAAAGTCCAGCCCTGTGAAGGGCAGCCACAGTCCTGCTCCAAAGACACCATGCTGGACAGTCCCTCAGAGAAACTGCAAATGTATGCAAAGGTCATGGGAAAAACTATGGTGTCCAGGGCTCCACAGAGGCGGCCAACAGGTGTCCTTGGGCGAGGGGCTGAAGGGCCCACCTCGATGACCTCTGATGCCCCTCTGCTCACTGCCGCCACGGCCAGCACCCAAATTCAGGGCTACTCCCCTTCCACCTGCATTCTGGCCATAACTCCCCAACCCGAAGGCAGCCCTGAAATCTGACTGAGAACCTGCCGTCATCAGGAGCATCTGTCCCTGGGATCAAGCAAGGCTCGTCCGCTGGGCATCCACAGCCCTTGGCAGGTTCAATGCCACCTCCCCGACCTTTGGGAGGAATGCTGGGTTACTTCTCAGAAGGCCCAGTCACTGGCCGATGTCGCTGTTCTCATCCACCACAGTCCACTCTCCGGGCCTTGCCCATCTCCCAGGCCTGCCCCTCAGGCACCCCCTCCCCCCATAAAAGACCTGTCACATTCTCTCTCATCCACCCTTGCTGAGGCCAGTGACCCCTCCCCAAATTACCTTGTTTTGATTTTTTATAAGCATGCTTTGTCAATCCCTATGTGCGTGAAATGTGCCTTTCTCCAGAGGCCAGTCAGCCCCTTGCACCTCCAACCCACAAGGTGCTCACAAATGCAGCTTCTTGCTTGATTGAGGCGAGCTCATCCCCACGGCTGAGGAGGGTGACCAAAATCCTCTGGGGTAATGCTGAGGGCCTGGAGTCTGGGCTCAGGCTGCACTCACCTGGCTGTGTCCACTGCTGCCCGAGCTCAGCCCCCAGCACATGGAGCAGGGCAGCCCAGGGCAGGTGCCAGGAGGCAGCCCAGGGGCACAAGGCAGAAGAGCAAGCCAGCTTCTCTGTTCACTCATCCAGACTCTTCTGGACCAGAGGCTCCTGGCCTTTTCATTCAGGTCCTCCCCCTCTGGTGGGGCAGACTGAGGGCCAGGGTAATGCAAAGGTGAGGGATCGGGTGAGATTTCCCTGGGTCAGCTCACTACATGGCTGGCTCGTCCTGGCGGTGGCCTGAGCCCTGAGCAGGCAACTGGGCTTGATGAAAGGCCTGAGGCCCCTTCTGGCTCAGAGGCATCTCTGCATTTCTGAAGGCCTGGTGGGCCAGGCCCTTCCTTCCACAGCCTTACTTTAGCCTGTGGACTGGACTGGAGATGCTCTGCATTAGCCCAGGGCCAGGCACCCAACTAAGGCATGATTTGGACTCCTCCATAAAGAGGTGGGGAGGATTGTACGGTCAAGGTTATTACGCTGGACGTCTCCTGGGGACATGATCATCTACTTCCTAACAGTGAATGGGGACAGGTAGTGAGGTCCCCATGACTGCAAAGGTCTTTGAGAAGCAGCAGAAGCCCTTGTGGAAGGGGCTGCCCTGGAGGCCGCCACATCTGTGCTCCTTGGGCTCCTCAGGACCCTTCCCTGGGCTGAACATCCTTTCTCCAGAACACCTTCCAGCCCTTAATCTGTGACGTGTCTCCTGCCGGGCTGCACCACTGCCTGTCAGACCACTCCTCCTGGCCAGATCCTAGTCTGCCTCGCCTCTAGACGAGGGCTCTCTGAGGCCATCTGCATGCTTGGTCATCTTGTCAATGGCCACAGCTTCCCCCGCCCCTAGATATCCTGTCCCGAGTCTTCTCCTGACCATGAGTCTCCCACGGAGGATGAAGACAATTCTCATCCCAGCTCTGACTTCAGTGACGCGTGGGATGCATTCCACTCTCCCCCCACCCCGAGGCGTCAGGATCCTATTCTAAATCCTTGGTTGTGTTTTCCTGGGTTCAGACTCTCTGGGCCTCGGTTTGTCCATCAGCAAGATGGAGGGGTTGGACCCTAAACCTAGGGAGTTACTTTATTCATGCAGTCCAAGGTCATATTAGCTTTCTTGAATTCCACATCACACTCAAGTCATACTGAACATATATGGTCCACAAGGGCCCCCCGATCCTTTTCAAAGGATCTGATGTCTCCACAGTCCCCCTAGCCTACATTTGTGCAGTCAGTTTTGTGAACCCAATATGGGCTCCGTGTTAAATTCCATCTCATTCAACCCCGCCCGTTTGGGGATCCTGTCAGGGCAGTCTCTCTAACGCCTCCATCTGCCACCTTGTTTCCAGACTGCCACCTCCCCACTACGAAGAGCACGATGTCTGGCAGGCTCCACCTCTGGCCAGCACTAAGCCCAGTCCAGGCGCACACTGCCCTCTGGAGGGACCCTAGACCCCTGGAGCTCAAAAGACCCTCAGAGGGCATCTGGCCCCACCACCCACTCAGTCAGCATGTTTGTGGCCAAGGCCCTGGCAGGCCAGCACCCAGACTCCTCTTAAGCAATACCCGTGCCGGGCCACTGGCAGTCACAGATTTAGAACTGGAAAGCAAGCTGTGGGATGTGAATGGGATGGAATACTACTGTGCTAATGATGAGCAGGCAGACGTCAGAAAAACCTGGAAAGACTTGTATGGTCTGACGCAGAGTGAAGTGAGCAGAACCAAGAGAATATTGTGCACAGTAACAGCCACATTGTGCGATGACTAATATTGATAGACTCAACACTTCCCAGCAAAGCAAGGATCTAAGATATCTCCAAAGGCCTCATGATGGAAAATGCTATCCCCATCCAAAGGAAGAACTATGGAGTTTGAATGCAAATCAAAGCAGACTACTTGCTATTTTTTTTTCTTCTGCTGTGTTTTGTTTCCTCTTTCTGGTGGTTCCTCCTATTGGTTCTAATTTTTCCTTACAACATCACCAACGTGAAAATACGTTTAATAGGATGCATATGTATAGCCTATATCAGATTGTAAGCCATCTTGGGGAAGGACTGGAGAAAATTTAAAACTCAAAAGCATATAGAAGTGATTGCTGACAAATCAAAATAAATTAATTAAAAAAAAAACTCTAAGGGACCTGAGTTACTGAGCTCATGCCACATGCCCAGCACTGGGCACTGCTCTAACAGGGAACCACCACAGAGAGATGGTGCCCAGAGGTCCAGGGCGCTGAGGGGGGCCACAGAGGAGACAGACACACCCCACTCAGGGACAGGAACTGATTTGTTTGTAGTCTCCAGGGCACAAGAAGTGGGGCTGTGCCTTGGAGCTGGTCCCAGTGGCTTCCCTGAGTGTCTTGAGAGAGGCAGTCCCCATCCGGGATGGGGCACCATGGTGGAAGTCCCCTCATGACAGCAGGGAGGCACTAGCAGGTTATGAAGGTGACCTGAAATGTGGCCAATCTATTCATTTTACAGATGAGGAGACTGAGGCACAGAGCTGCAGAGCTGCTCAGGGTCACGTAGCATCTGAGAAAGGACATGGAACCAGGTCTTTCTGACTCTGCGTTGGGGGCCCTGGTTCCTACTTCCAGGGAAGCCCTTCCCATATGGGGACAGCCGTCACTGTTAGCAGAGTCTCTGTAACTGCCACTGACCTTGGCTCTCTGTCCTCTGGAATGTCTCCTCAGGACCATCGTCCTACCAACATTAGGATCAACACCTCCATTTTTCCACCGCTCCTCTTAGGCCATCGTCCCCAGACCTCTCGCGGTGCGCACTTCTCACAAACTCCAGTCGGTCAGCAGCCTCCTCAGTCATCGGCTCCTTTAGACGCCACGTCCCACCACCGAGCGGAGAGCCGAGGGAAACCCCAAGCGCCCTCTACCACAAGCTGCCATTACAGTCCTCCACCTGGGCTCCCTCCTAACCTCACCTCCACTCCACTGAGCGACCGAGGCTCATCCCTCTACAGCCTGAGCATCTCTCCAACTCGCCCCCTTCCCTCTCCTGCCCTGCCACCCCCAGTACAGGCTCTCAACCACTGAACTAGCTGATGAAAGATGGAATCATTGAGCACGTCTATAAGGGAAAATGACGCATGCAACCACAAAGTTCCAAAGCATAACAAGGAGAGAAGCAAATGGGTGGAAAACCGCAGGCAGCACTCTGCCCACAGGGGCCAAGTGCGGGCGACGTTCACTTGAGGGTACGGGTGCCAGGGTGACCTGGCTGCCCACATATGCACATTCTGGGTGATGGTTACAGCAGAAATGCTCTCTCTACATTGATGGTGTCAGATTGATGACTCGTCACCCAAAATGCCAATGTGACCCTTCAGCCCCCGCCTTGGTGAACCACCCCTGGTTCTGGTACAAAATGCTCTCTTCCTCACCTGCCCCTCCCCCATCAGGGGCTCTTCACTTCAAGGAGCCCGGCCAGGCTGCTCCCAAACAGGCCTCTCCGACTGTCTTCCAATGCTCCTCCTCCTCCCCTCTGACTACACGCCTAAGTTCCAAGCAGACTCCCACTCTCCGCAAGCCTTTTGGGTCCTTAAGCTCAATGCCTTCCCTCTGAGACCTGCCCCATTTAGCCTGCTTGTTTGCATCCCCAGCACTCAGCCCAGTGCCAGGAAATACAGTAGGCACTTAATAAACGCACATGGACCACTGTGACATTTTATTCTTCCAAACCACGTTCAGGACTTAACGTTCATGCTTTGTGAAACTTCCTGTCAAATTCAGTCTTGTCAAATCCCCATTATCTGAGCCCAGGAAATCCTCTGCTTCCCATCCCATCTCAGCATCCTCACTAAAACACCTGGTCAAAGTTGCCTTGGGGTCCATGAGCCAGGCCTGCTCAGTAACTCTTTTCCAAAATGACAAATTCTCTTACCAAGTCTCTATGGAGACATCACTCAGCATTCCTCAGGGCACCAGAGCTCTATGAAAGAGTTCTTTCACTCAGGGACTTTGTGGAACACAGAGCTGGCCCCCTGCTCAGTTCACAGCCCAGGCCTGTCAGGGCTCCAGGGACACCCAGAAAAACCTCTGTTCCTTTTCATGAGCCCACTCCCAGAACCAGCTGGTGCTGTCCTGACTGGGCTCACATGGCCTCCTCTAGGGGCCAAAGGCAGGGCTGATACAGAGAAACAGCAGGGATGACCAGGCGCGCCACTCCCCCCCACCCCCAAGTTCATTACCGTCTGACTGATGGGCCTCAAGCTGCTTGGGGCCGTCTGAAAGACAATGGTGGCCCACAAAGCACTTGTACGAGGCTTCTGCCCACATCTGGGAGGGAGTCAAGGATGGGGGCTGGGAGAAAACTGAGGCCCAAGGCCAGAGCTGTGTGGGTCTGAAGGTCCACACAACGTCCCAGCCTCCCCAGCAGGGGAGCCCTCAGGGATGGGCCTATGATGGGGGACTAGAGGCCAACAGACAGTTACATCGATATCTGGGGAGCAAAGTGGAGCCAGTGCTGGGGGGGTACAAAAACAAACGTTGGCCCATACAGGGTAGGCACGCAGACGAGGGGGCAGGAGCCCAAGCCACCACGAGGCGGGCGGCTGACCACGCGGGGCATCCTAGGAACCTAACAGTGGGGGCATCAGACCACAGGGTCCCCCCCTGGAAATGGGGTGTGGGGGGGCACTCCACTCTTAGGACAGAACCAAGATGACCAGAAAAGACCTGGGCGTTTTCCTGGGCCGTGAGCTCCAGGAAGGGGCACGCAGGCCCTGCTCCACGCTGAGCCCGTTGGTAGGAAGGCCATGGCTCAGCTTTAGGAACTGCACCAAGGCAGCCAGGCTGGGGGAGGGTCCTTCCCATCATGGAAGGGCTCTCCTTTAGGGGAGGGTGGCCCCAGGGTGGGGAGGTCCAGCAGAGGCAGTGGCCCATGGTTCCGGCCAGCTCTAAATTCCTGCTCTGGGCAGCCTGGGGCAGGGGATTGAGAAGGGCGAGGAGGGTAGGACGTGAGGGTCTGAGAAGGACATCTTGGCATTCAGGATCAAGGGGGAGGAGCCATCTCTGGTGCCAACGAGGTCTAAGCCACAGGGGCTAAGGTGGAGAGAGGGGACCGATAACCTGTGAGGTCAGTGGGTGGCCAGGGCAGGAGCTGGGCTGGAGACACAGACAGCAGGGCGGGGAGCCACCCCCCCCCCACCCCTGGGGCCCAGCAGGGAGAGGGGGGGCAGGGCAGAGGACCCCAGCAGGGAACAGTGAGAAAGAAGAAGGCTGAGATCTCAAGGAAGGGGCATCTCTGCAGCCGGGGTCAGGCCGGACGTTTCCACAGTCACACGATCTCGCTCATCCTCTCAACAGCCCTGCTTGGCAGGACCACGCTCCCCATTTCACAGAACAGGAGACTGAGATTCAGGTAAGTTCATCGATAGGATGCCTTCAACCCTGCCCCTGCCTCTCATTCCCAGGAAGCACCAACACAGAGGAGGCCCAGCACTTGTCCACCTCAGGACGGAGGCTCCAGGCCACCCGAGGCCTCCCCTCCTCTGGCCACACAGTGAACGCCTCCCTCTGCATCATAGTACACAGGGCCCAAGCGCAGCATGGGCTCCTCCTCCGCGTACCAGCGGCGCTCGCTGAAGTCAGGGAAGAAGGCCGCGATCTCTCTGCGGGCAGAGACCACCGAGTCTGGAGGAGACAGGGGAGAGGGAGAGGGAGGAGAAGGAGGAAAAGAGAGAAAGAGAGAGAGAGAAAGAGAGAGAGAGAGAGAGAGAGAGAGAGAGAGAGAGCGCGCCAGAGGGGCAGGGGTCAGTCCTCCCAGAGAGGATAGGGGCCTCAGGGGCCCTGCCAGCCCCCTGCCACCCACCCCACCTGCTCACCTGAGCCATGGGTGGTATTGCGTGTGTCCGTGAGGCCAAAGCTTCCACGGATAGAGTCGGGGGCCACGTGGCGAGCTCGGAACACCCTGGTTGGCCCCATGAGGGTCCTCCAGAGCTGGACAGCGTCCTTGTGAGCCAGTATGTAGGCCCGGATTGGGCCACTGGAGAGGAAAAGAGGAGGTGACTCACTTGTCATCCAGTGCTCTGTGCTGGGGCTCCCCACCAACCCCCCACTTAGGCCAGCAGTTGGGGTGGGGCAGAAGGGTGCCTCATGTGAGTCCCCTCCCCAGGAGAGGCAGGGATACCTGGCCATGAACTCCACCAAGCGCTGGTAGAAAAAACGCCCTGTTGGAGAGAGACAGACAGATACGACTCGCATCCTACAGGGAATGTGCTGCTCACTCCCCTTCCCTGGTAGGGCTCCGGGCTGCACCCACCTGCATGCTCCTGGTAAAACCGCTGGCAATCCTCCCGCCTCCAGACAAGGTCTCGAGTTCGCACAATGAGGAGCTGGCTGCTCAGGATCTGCTGGTGAATGGCCTGGAAGGACCCCCCCCCCAAAGCTAAGAAGCCAGGGCTGGGGTCCAGGGGCCCCCAGCCCCGGCCAGGACCCCGAGAGACAGCAGCCAGCGTCCATAGGAATCCTCTGCCCACACAGCTCAGCTCGAAACACGCCACACAAGTATTTCAGAAGCACCTACTGTGTGCTAAGCACCTGCCAAGTGTTCTCTTCCCTAATAGCCCCCCATCACCTGAGGGCAGGGACTGTCTTTGACCTCCTTTGTAGCCCCAGCACAGTGCCTGGCACACAGTAGGTGGAAAAAGTATTTCAGAAGCACCTACTACGTGCTAAGCATCTGCCAAGTGTTCTCTCCCCTAACAGCCCCCCATCACCTGAGGGCAGGGGTTGTCTTTGGCCTCTTTGGTACCCCCAGCACAGCGCCTGGCACACAGTAGGTACTTAATGTTTGCACACTCAGTGGTCCTCCCTGAAGCCTGACTTGTTTTCCCGACCCCAGAAGCTGCTGGACGGGGCTTTCGCTGGTGGTGCTCCATTCACTCTGCCGTGGCAAGCACTTAGTAGGTGCCTATTACACAGAGGCACACAAAAACCAAAGCAAAGAAAGCGTCTTTGCCTCCAGGTAGCTTCTACTCTAGGAGCGCCGGGCTGGACGCTGGGCTGGACGCAGGAAGACCTGACTTGCTTCAAACCCGGCCTCCAACACTTCCCAGCGGGGTGATCCTGGCGAGTCCCTGCACCCGGCTGCCTCAGTTTCCCCGTCTGTACAACTGGGTGGTATGGCGGCAGTCCCCTGGAGCAGTTGTTCACAGCCAAAGCTAATCTTGGCCACGTGCCTTGGGCACCAGGAAGTGCCAGCTACAGGCGCTGTGACTCTGCTTACCAGGGCAGGAAAAAAGGCCCTTGGCCCTCCCCTCTCCCGCGGCCAAGGCCCCAGACTGCGCTGCAATGGGGGGCGGGGGCCCCGAAATGACTTCCCCCGTGCTCCTAACCCCACGCCAGGCCGCTGCCAGCCTCTCTCGCTCTGAAGTCTTCAATGGCTCCCTACCGCCTAAGAAATCAAAGTCCTGTGGCTTCAAGGCTCCACGGCCGCCGGGCAGCCCTCCCCGATAGCTCCCCCCATTCTCCCTGTCTGGGCTGGGGCACCCCCACGGCGTCCGTCGCCGCCCTAACCTCCAGGATCAGGGGATGGGCCACGGCGTCCGGCTTGATCAGGGCCAGGGTGAGCTGGAGCAGGCTGGGACCCCCGCGCCCCAGTGTCGCCATCCTCGCGGCAGCGCTGAGGGGGTACACGGCCGGGACTCGCACCAGGTGATGGGGCGTGCTTCCTGCTCCGCTAGCGTGCAGGGCGTGCTCGTGCGCTCCTTCGTTTCCCAGGGTCTTTAGCGGCCCACCCCCTGCGTACGCCTCCTTGCGTGCTCCTCCCCTGTACGTGCTCCTCCCTGTACGAGCTCCTGTGCACCTCCCATGGGTGATCCCTGCGTCCTCCCGTTCGCCCGTGCGTGCTCCTGTGACCCTGTACGTTCCCGCCCACTCGACGTTGCGCATGCGCACCCGGTGGCGGGGTCCTTCGGGCAGCACCAAAGGCAGCCCCGGGGGGGCCTCCTGGCGTCCATCCGGCGTCCGCCGCGGGCAGCCCCTGCCGTTGCATAGCAGCGGGGTTGTCGCTGCCGTGCCCGAGGCCAGGGAGGCCAGGGACGCCAGGGACGCCATGGCCGGGGAGCCTGCACGGGCCGGAGCCGGGGCCGACGCGGGGCCGGAGCTGGACCAGGAAAAGTACGATGCGGCCGAGAACGTCAAGATCATCTGCCTCGGGGACAGCGCCGTGGGCAAGTCCAAGTGCGTGGGGGGTGGGAAGCACGGGCCCTTGAACGCCGAGCCCAGTGGGTGGGCAGCCTTGAACTCTAAGCCCAGCTGTAGGAGGGAGCCTTGAACCCTGAATTCAGGGGCCGGGGGAGGGGCATGCCTTGAACGCCAAGCCCAGAGGTGGAGGGAGCCCCAAACTCCAAGTTCAATGGGTGGGGGGCCTTGAACGCCAAGCTCAGAGGTGGGGGGAGAAGCCTTGAACCTTGAGGGGGAGCTTGAACGCCGAGCCCAGGTGGGGTTGGGGGGGGAGCCCTGAATGCCAGACCCAGCAGAGGAACCCGAAGCACAGCTGGCTGAAGGACCCTGCCTCCCTTGTCCATCTTCTCGGGACACACAGGTAGAACAGAACTTGAACCCAGGGCCCTTGTTCCTGGCCAGCACGCTCTCCCTTTGGCTGTTAGGGCCTTGTCTCTAGGCTTTTCTTGGATCACAGGGAAGGAGTTAGGAGAGAGGACACAGTAATGATGATAATGGCTCCCCTGGACATAGTGCTCCGTGGTGGGACCCATTTAACAGAGGGGGAACTGAGGCCCAGAGAAGTGAAGGCACTTGTCCAAGGTCATAGAGCTAGTAAATGTCCAAGGCAGGATTTGAACTGAGGTCTTCGTGGCTCAGAGGCACGGATGCCTTCTAGGAGGCACTTGGTGACACCCAACCTGAGGAGTGGGCCTGGGGAGCAAGTGGTGGGAAGGTTCCCTGCAGGAGAGAGCTTTAAGATCCAAACCAGGAAAAGTGCATTTGCCTCCTTCACAGCCGGCCGTTTCCCAGCCCCAGCACACAGTCGGTGCTTAATAAATGTGTATTGGCTGCCAGGGGCCCACAGTCTGTGCCCTGGACAGCTCAGGCTCTGTGTGGCAGAGCACTGCATGGGGCCCCGGGGGCTCAGAGCTAAGCTGGGTTCTGGCCCTCAAGGAGCTCCCAGCCTATGAAACAGAGAGAAAACAAGCCTCTTGGGGGGCAGGGGGCCATAGGGGACCTGGAAGGGGATGGAGGAGTGTGTCAAGACCTCCCACAGAGGGGCCACTGACCAGCCTCTCTTGTGCTTGCAGGCTTATGGAGAGATTCCTCATGGACGGATTGTATCCTCTAGGCACCCTCCCTGCCCTCGGCCCCTGGGACAGCCTTGGCTGGGGGTGGTGAACACAGGAAGCTTTGTGGAGTGGGAAGAGACCTAGACCCCTTCTTCTGAGCACCTGTGACCTACTAGCCAAGGCTGGCTGCTCCCCACGCAGTGCGAGCTCAAGGCCACAGCACCTGGGAACCCCCTTACTTCTCTGGGAAGCGGCCCCCTACTAGCCACTGAATCATCCAGGTCCATTCCCCTCCCTTCTGTGTCAGCAGTTATCACTGACCCCCGAGACTCCTGCCTTTTCCTCAGGGCACTGACCTCAGCTCTGGTCACTGGCTCCTCTACCCCTGACCCAGGGGCTGGTGATGGACAGTAGGGCATCGGAGAGCCAGGGCACAGCTCCAGGGCAGCGCTAACAATCCTTGTCTCCTCTCCTCAGCCTCTGCCTCTGTCTGTCTCTGTCTGTCTCTCTCTCCCTCTCTCTCCCTGCCCCCCCTTCTCTCTCCTCTCTCTTTGCTCGCTTTCTGTCTCTGTGTCTCTGTCTCACTCTATATATATATTCCCCTCCCTCCCTCCCTCCCTCTCTCTCCTCTGTGTCCTCTCTCTTTCTCTCTCTCTCTGTCTCTCTCTCCCTCCCTTTCTCTGTCTGTCTCTTTCCTTTCTCTTCCTTTCCTCTCTCTCTTTCTCCCTGCCCCCTCTCTCTCTCCTTTCCTTGTTCTCTCTCACTCTCTCTGTCTCTCTCTCTCTCTGTCTCTCTCTCGCTCTCCCCCTTCTTCCCCCGTCTCTCTCTGTGTCTGTCTCTCTATCTCTCTCTCTCTTCCTCTCTCTCTCCCCCCTCCCTCCCTCTCTCTCTGTGTTTCTGTCTCTCTGTCTTTATCTCTCTTTCTCTCTATCTCTCTCTTTCCTCTTTCTCTCTCTCTCTGTCTCTCTCTTCCCCTCTCTCTATCTCTCTGTCTCTTCTCTCTATCTCTCTCTTTCCTCTCTCTCTATCTCTCTCTTCCCCCCCCTCTCTCCCTCCCTCTCTCCTCTCTCCTCTCTCCTCTCTCCTCTCTCTCTATCTCTCTCACCACCACCCCTTTTCTCTCTCACAATGACCTCATCAGCTCCCTGGGGTTCCGTTGCCATCTCCTAGGCAGGGAGTTCCCCGATCCCTCTCTCTGGCCCATGTTTCTCTCCCGGGCTCCAGTCCCCCATCCCCTGCTGCCTGTTAGAGTTGTCCTTAACCCGAGGGGAACAGCCAGCCCCAGCAGCTGTCCACCTATGCCCTGACACTCTACAAACACACTACCACTGTCGACGGCAAAACCATCCTTGTGGGTGAGCAGCATCGGGTGGGTCGGGGAGGAGGAGGAGAGGGAGGGAGGAAAGACCAGAGGAAGGAGGGGCCTTAGTGCCAGGAGGGGCCTGGGAAGGACAAGGGTGTAGGGGGGTGGGCAAGGGGGCCTAGGGGAGCCCGGGGCTGGGATGGTCTGGCAGAGTGGGAGACAGTCAGTGCACGTCCTCCACCCTCTCCGGCGCCCCTGCTGAGCCATGAGCCCACCCCCAGCCAAAGGTCCCAGTAAGGGCAGTCCACTCTGGGGCAGCTGTGGAGCCCCGGCCTCGGCTGGTGCCCAGGGTGACCCCTGAGAGGCTGGACACGGCTGTTCTGTCCTTGCCAGCCCTGTCTGTGGCCTGAACTTGTCCACTTTCTTGGCCGCGCCCAGCCCTGTTTACAGACTCCCCTCATCTGGCCTTGCCTCCCCCATCCTGCTCCTTAGAGTGTTAGCGGGTGTCCATGTGAGCCCTGTCCCAGCCCGTTGGAGGCAGTGAGGAGGTGGTTGGGGGAGTCAGGAAGACGCAGGACTCCCAAGGAGCTGGGCTGGGCAGAGGAGAAGGCGTGCAGGGTGAGGCAGGGGTCCCCTGGGCAGCCCTCCCGTGGGGAGCCAGGCCAGCATGCCCCCCTTGTCATTGCCCCCCCATCCTTCTCTCCTGGTGACACCCCAGGCAAGTGTGGGCAAATGCCCACCCTCAGAGCACACACGTGTACAAGCTTATACTCGTGTGTTCACATGTGTGTACACATAAATGTGTGTACATGCATGCACAGGCACATGCAGCAGACATGTAAACACTCGTACCTGTGTGTGTACACATAAATGTGTACATGTATGCGTAGGCACACACAGCAGGCATGTTAATGCTCATGCACATGTGTGTACACACATCTACATGCATGCTCACATGCTTGGACATGCACATTCATGTGTTTATGATGCATGATGTACGTGCATGCACACGTGTGTGCTCGTGTCCAGTGACTTCTCTATCCCTGGGGTGGGAAGGGCTTGGTTCCTGAGGCTGGGGCCACGCCCTGACATCCACGCTTTTGCCACAGATTTCTGGGACACGGCGGGCCAGGAGAGGTTTCAGAGCATGCACGCTTCTTACTACCACAAGGCACACGCCTGCATCATGGTAGGTGGGGGAGGGGCTCACTCAGCAGGTCTCGGGGATGGTCTGGGCCGCCCTGGCACCCGTGATGGCTGGTGACCCTCCATGGCCCGGGGACAGGGAAAGCACCCTTGCTCCCTTCCGGGCCGCTGGCTCTCAGGGAGGGAGTCTCGCCAAGATTCTACCCAGAGCCCCACCCCCTCCCTCACACTCCGGACCCAGCTGGCTCTTGGGCCCTGGTGTTGGGCAGATCTTGGAATTCTCCAGGCACCCCCTTGCACCCATGCAGGATGGTCTCCACCCCCCTCAGAGCTTGGACGAATTTGGGGCAGGGGCCAGGATTCCCTCAAGGCCAGACAGCCCAAACCTAGGCAGTGGGTGAGGCCAGGCTTGGATGCAGCTGGGAATGAGAGCCTGCTGGGGTTCCCACCGCTGCCCTGAGGGCCTGGGCTCCCCAGTGCCCCTCTCAATCCATCCCCGTCTGCTCTGACCAGGGCGCTGTCCTCCTCGGTTCCCAGCTTGGACCCTTCCAGGAAGGCGCTGGCGTGGAGGCTCCCAAGGGGACAGACAGGAGTCAGAGGTCTCCAAGGGCAGGTGGTGCCACCTTCTGGGTCATCCATCTGTGGCCTTTGAGGCCTGGAGAAAAGCCCCTAGCTTGTCTCCCTCCCCCTTCCATTTTTCCACACTTGGCCCCCCGGGAGGAGGCAGAAGGAAGTGTTCCCAGAGGACAGTGTCTCCCAGTATCCGTGCCGTGTGGAGAGATTTGGGGAGTCTGGCCTCGGATGGGAAAAAGCTGCCGCCTGATTTCCACATACTTGGCTCCTTCATAACGGTGCCTTTAACAATGAAGGACTGAGTCTGAGGAGGGGGATGTCCAGGCCAGACCAGGCCAGGAGTCGTCCCCACCTACTTTAGGGAAGGGCTGTCCGGGCTCTCCTGTTGGGGAGTAGAGTAGGAAGGAGGTGGTTGGCGGGGCATCTCAGGGGTTCTGGAAGCTAGCAGTTCAGCTTTCAGATAGCCTGGGACCCCTGGGTAGGCCTTGCCCCAGGACCAGCTGGAGGAAAGTAATCGTCTGTCCGGTCAGTCCTCCCATCCTGTGACGTCCACAAGGATGCCCCGTCTGTGCGAGGGATGGGCTTCACTGCCTAGGACCCTGGGAGGTGAAAGCTGTCCTCGCCAGGGGTGTTCTTCCAGACTCCCAAGGGTGGCTCTATCTACTGGGCAGCACTGCCCCCCTGCGTCCCAGAAAGCCCCGCAAAACTGTTCACGTGGACCCCGTCTAGTGAGTTTCCAAGACCCAGAGAAGAGTCTCTGTGAGTCGGGGTGGGCGCCTTGGGCCCATGTCTGCCAGGAGCCCTCCCACCAGAGACTCCCCAGCCCCCGGGGCTTCCTGGGCAGGCAAAGGCACACCCCGATCCCTTCAGGCCTGGGCTCTGTGGCCCCAGGCACCCCCAAGGGCTGACAGAGCTGATGCACAGATGCCCATCCTGGTGCCAGGGGCAGAAACAAGGTCCCATTGAGAGCCTGACGGGACTGAATAATTCCGCCTCTGGGAACAAGCCCTGGTCAGTGGTTGAACCAAGGGCAGCCCCCGGAGTCCCTCTGGGGGAATGAAGACAAGTGCAGAGAACCAGGATGGGCCTGGAGCAGGCAGGCAGGAACCCAGAGCAGTCCTACTCTCTGTGGTACAAGTGGGAGCCGGGTGGAGATGGGGAGTGCCAGCCTGCCAAGCTGCCTTGCCAATTGACTGATTGATGGATGGGGGGTGTGCCCTTCCTGCCGGCTGTGTGGCATCCAGAGTCCAGGGCTTGCTGAGGGGCTGGCCCCTAGAAGCGAAGGGCTTGGAGCTCCTAAGTTCTGAACAGGTGCCAGGGTTGCACTCATTTGCAGCTGCGTCCCCCCCGTGCGCCCTTTTTTCTTAGCGTCCTGGATGTCTGTGTCTGAGGGCTCCAGCAGTGGGGAGGGGAGCCTCCTTAGAGCTGCCTGGCCCCTTCTTCTCACCCCAGGTGTTCGATGTGCAGAGAAAGGTCACCTACAAGAACCTGACCACCTGGTATTCGGAGCTTCGAGAGTTCCGCCCCGAGATTCCCTGCCTCGTGGTGGCCAATAAGATTGATGGTGGGGGCCGGACCTTGGGGTGGGTGAGGGGGTGGGGAGGCAGGCGGGCTGACCCGGAGCCGCGCAGCCCCTTCCTTTGGCCACCTGCACTGACCCTGTCTCCCTCTCCAGCCGACACCAACGTGACCCAGAAAAGCTTCAACTTTGCCAGAAGGTTTGCACTGCCTCTGTACTTTGTCTCGGCCGCCGACGGCACCAATGTTGTGAAGGCAAGTTTGTTGGGCTGGGGGTGATGGGCGAGCACAGCCTGGGCGGGGGCACAGGGTCTCAGGGAGGCGCGCCCCGCCCCTTGAGGACCCTCTTTCTCTTCTCTCCCAGCTCTTCAATGATGCTATCCGTTTGGCAGTTTCTTACAAACAGAATTCCCAAGACTTCATGGATGAGGTTTTACAAGAGCTTGAGGTGGGGCTTGGGAGGGGACTGGGGCTGGGGGGAGCCTCCTTTCCTCCCTCCCTTCCTGCCCCTGCACATCCTCTGACTTTGGACCTGTCTGAGGCAGGTGTCTCACCTACAGCTTTTCTCACAGAACTTTGAGCTGGAGAAGAAGGTAGGGTCCGGGTCGGACCAGGAACAGAGTGAAGCCCTCGGGAATCTTCCGTCTCCCTGAGTCTCCCCTGCCCTCCCCAGCATGCCATGAAGCAGCCTGGGGCCCACCACCCCCACCTTGCTACTGCCCCCTCCGCCAACTCCCTCCTGCGCCTCACTGGTCCCCAGCTTTCCCAGCCCTGGGATATGGCAAGAGAAGCACAGAGACCCCAACCCAAAAGGGAGGGAGCAGGGTCCATAACAGGATGCTGGAGATGGACAGTCCATCCCCCTCATCCCCGCACACATCCCAGAACAGGTGAGGGATCGGAGTCAGTGCTGGACATCCACCCCCCCCCCAGGACAAGAAGGGGTGGTCTGCCATCCCTACCCCGTTTGGACTGGGGCAATGAGGTGATATTCTATGGATCCACCCAAGGAACAGAACATTAAATATTTTTTTCTCAGCATTGAGCGTGGGGCCTATTCCTTGGTAAACAGATTCTTAACTTTCCGATCAACTCTTTCTTCCCTCCCCATAAAAAAACAAATAGACCCTGTATCCATACAACGTCCTGGATTCCCCCTGCCTTGACACATCCATGCTCCCTGTTCCCAGATGCCCGCAGGTTTGTTTGCTGATAGCCAGGCTCTGTGGGTGGGTAAGACTGGTGGTCGATGACTGGAGCTCAGGCCCGGCTCCTTCCTCTTGAACAGCAGGGTCAGCCTGGCATCTTACAGTGGGCATGGCCCCATGGAGCTCTCCTTTCTCTCCCTTGTCAGTGGTGATGACCAGTGAAGGTCCCCAAATCCACCTCATCCACAACCAGGGTTTCCTGTGAAGGAGCCATGGAGGGAAGGAGGCTGGAATTGGGGCTTTCAGCTTGAATCTGCGTCATCGGCAGGGGAGGAGCGGCCACGTGAGCCACGGAGGCCAGTCAGGAGGACCATCACGGGAGAAGTGGATGCCCAGTGATGTTGGCAGGGGCAGGGTTCGTCCCATTCATGGCTCGCTTCTTTTCTGTCCTGTTAGGCTGGCAGTTCCTCCAGGGCAGGGCCTGTCGGGTGCCCTCTTTGTGCCCACAGTGCTCTGCTCAGGGCCTGGCGCACAGGAGGCACTTAACGTGGCTTGAGCATCCCAGCTTCCAGACCCAGGGTGTCTGGGGCAAGTGAGAAGAACGGCCAGGGCTGCCGCATCTCCTGGAAGAGCCAGAAGATGGAAGGAGGTCTCTGGCGGATGCAGGGTCGGGCTGAGTGGGATGGGGGTGAGAATGGCCATCGAGTCTCATGGGATGGCCCTGATTCCCTCTTGGGCAAGCAGGCATCCCTGGGAACAAGAGGAATGTTCTGGAACTGTGGGGCTCCCCAAAAGGAGACCAGAGGCATGGCTGAGAACAGAATACCCGCAGTCACCAAGTGCTTCAGATGATTCTCTGGAAATGGAGACTCACCTATGTGAGGGCAGGGTGAGAGAATGTCCCGGGCTTGAAGGGAGTCGGGCTTCCCAGCAGGGGCTAGCCCCTGGACCTGGGACTTCACTGGGGTGGAGATCTCTCTGCCAGGAAGTTGGCACCTTCTCTGCCTCTGGTGGAGCAGTGACTTGCCCAGGGTCACACAGCCGGGTTATGGCAGAGGACTCCTGGATGGAGACCAGGCTCCGGGACGCATAGCACCCCTGGTTTGGAACCACTCTCAAATCCCTCCCTTCCCGGATGGACCCTCGCTTTTCTCTCCAACCAGGATGCTGCACTTAGTAGGCCCTTTCTTTTTTTTCTTTTTTTTTCCTTTTATTAATTTATTTTGATTTATCAACAATCACTTCCATATGCTTTTGAGTTGAAAATTTTTCTCCCCCTTCCTTCCCCCCACCCTCCCCAAGACAGTGCACAATCTGATATAGGCTATACATTTACATACCCATTAAACATATTTTCACATTAGTGAAGTAAAGAAAAATTAAAACCAATAGGAGGAGCCATCAGAAAGAGGAAACAAAACTCAACAGAAGGTAGAAATAAGTGATAGCGATTTGACTTCCATAGTTCTTTCTTTGGATAGGGACAGCATTTTCCATCGTGAGGCCCCTGGAGATGTCTTAGATCCTCATAATGCTGAGAAGGGTTCAGTTTAACAATATTAGTCATTGCACAACGTGGCTGCTACTGTGTACAACATTCTCCTGGTTCTGCTCACTTCACTCAGCATCAGACCATACAAGTCTTTCCACGTTTTTCTGAAGTCCACCTGCTCATCATTTCTTATAGCACAATAGTATTCCATGACATTCATATACCACAACTTGCTCAGCCATTCCTCAATTGATGAACATCCCCTCAATTTCCAGTTCTTTGCCACCACAAAAAGAGCTGCTATGAATATTTTTGTACGTGTGGGTCCTTTCCCCATTTGTTTGATCTCTTTGGGACACAGCCCTAGAAGTGCTATTGCTAGATCAAAGGGTATGCACACTTTTGTAGCCCTTTGGTCATAGTTCCAAATTGTTCTCCAAAATGGTTGGATCAGTTCACAGCTCCACCAACAATGTATTAGTGTTCCAGTTTTCCCACATCTTCTCAACATTTCTCATTTTCCTGTTTTGTCATGTTGGCCAATCTGATAGGTGTGATGTGGTACCTCAGAGTTGTTTTGATTTGCATTTCTCTAATCAATAACGATTTAGAGCATTTTTTCATATGGCTATAGATGGCTTTAATTTCTTCATCTGAGAACTGTCTGTTCATATCCTTTGACCATTTATCAATTGGGGAATGGCTTGTAATCTTATAAATTTGTCTTAATTCTCTATATATTTTAGAAATGAAGCCTTTATCAGAGAGACTGGTTGTAAAAATTCTTTCCCAGTTTTCTATCTGCCTTCTGATCATAGTTGCATTGGCTTTGTTTGTGCAAAAACTTTTATTTTTTTTCTTTTTTTAAATAGAAATTTATTTATTTTTTAGTTTTCAATATTCACTTCCACAAGTTTTTGAGTTCCAAATTTCTATCCCCTCTCCCCACCCCAAGATGGCATGCATTCTGAATACCCCTTGCCCTGGTCTGCCTTCTCTTCTATCTCTCCCCCCTCCCTTCTCTTATCCCCTTCCCCTTCTATTTTCCTGTAGGGCAGGATAGACTTCTGTACCCCATTTCCTGTATTTCTTATTTCCCAGTTGCATGTGAAAACATTTTTTTAAAACGTGTTTTTTAAAACTTTGAGTTCCAAATTTTCTCCCTTCCTCCCTCCCCACCCACCCTCATTGAAAAGGCAAGCAACTCAATATAGGTTGTACATGTACAGTTATGCAAAACACTTCCTTAGTAGACTTGTTGTGAAAAACTAACTATGTCCCTTAATCCTATCCTGCCCTCCCATTTATTCTATTCTTTCTTTTGACCCTGTCCCTCCTCAGAAGTATTTTGTGCAAAAACTTTTCAATTTAATGTAATCAAAATTATCCATTTTGCTTGTCATATTGTTCTCTATTTCCTGTTTGGTCATGAATTCTCCTGTTCTCCATAGATCTGATAGGTAAACTGTTCCTTGTTCTCACAGTTTACTTATGGTATCAGCCTTTACATCTAAGTCACGAACCCATTTTGACTTTATTTTAGTATATGGTGTGAGATTTGGGTCTATGCCTAGTTTCTGCCATACCCTTTTCCAGTTTTCCCAGCAGTTTTTTTTCAAACAGTGGGTTCTTATCCCAGAAGCTGGGGTCTTTGGGTTTATCAAATAATAGATTACTATAGTCATTGACTACTGTGTCTTGCATATTTAACCTATTCCACTGATCTACCTCCCTATTTCTTAGCCAGTACCAAGTAGTTTTGATAATTGCTGCTTTATAATACAATTTAAGATCTGGAATTGCTAGGCCACCTTCCCCTGCATTTCTTTTCATTAGTTCCTTTGATATTCTGGACCTTTTGTTTTTCCAAATGAATCTTGTTATTATTTTTTCTAACTCTATAAAATAATTTTTTGGTAGTTTGATTGGTATGGCACTGAATAAGTAAATTAGCTTAGGTAGGATTGTCATTTTTATTATATTAGCTCGGTCAAGTAGGCCCTTTCTTAAAGAAAGGTAAGAAAGGGCTCACGCTCTTACAGGGAGACCACACTTAAAGAGCGTGCAGAGTCTGAGGGGAAGGCACTGGCCACTGGCTAGGGGTGGAGTGATTCTGATAGGGGCGAGTGGGGAGGCCCCCAGACTTCTGGATGCATAGGAGGGTGTAAAGAGCCTCAAAAGGTAGGAAGGGGCCCTCTGGGCTCCACAAGCCTCTGATGCCAAGTAGAGGGCAGAGACGAGGGTGACTCATTTCTCCAAGGGGCAAATGGCATCAGGAAACTCTGGCCCCCCCCAAAAAAAGAAAAGCTAGGAAGAAAAAATTAACAATAGCAAAAACACGTGGATAAAGGAAAAACAAGAACCAGACTTCCGTCATCAGAAGTGGAGCTGCCTCAAGTGCCAGCTACTTTAATGGAGGCCTTGGGGGTGAGTGGGAAGCCAGCCTCTCCTCCCCATCAGGGGAGAAATAATCTTCTCCAGTGTCAAGCACCTATGGCCTAAGTGCTGATCAAAGAGAAGGAGGATGGCCAAGCAGGAGTGGGCCAGAGCGCTTCCGCGGGGCTCTCTAGGCAGGACCTCTGACCCTTGTCTGATGCACATGGACCCTGATCTGCTAACAGACACATGTGGCCCCTTAGACTGTGATGGTGCTCCATCTCGGTGGATCTGCAGGGCTCTTAGGTGCAGGAGCAGTGAGGGCAGGCCTGGAAGAACAAAGTGCTGATATAAGCACAGAAGCAGAGACGACACCCCTACGAGGCGTGTGGGGGCAGGGGAGGCCTTTGAGGAGTGGCTGGAGGAGGTGACTCTGGATTCTGAAGAAGCCAGTCCCTTTCAGGTCCAAAGTCTGTGGAGTTCTGTGGCCATCCTGACTACACCCACTGCCCGGTGGTCATAGATGCCATCCTGGTAAGAGGCTGACTGCCTGGTTATTTCCTGACTAGAGAAGCCTATACCAGTTTCTTACTTTCTGGGATTGGAAAAATCAGCTCCACAAACAGGAGATGGGAAGGCCTGGAGGTTGCAAGGCCAACATGGATCAACAGTGTCCCTTGGCAAGTCCCCCAAAAGCTGTAGAGAGCTCCATTCTAAGAGGACAGGGGTCCGGAGGGAGAGGGGCCATTGTGGGGCCATCTTGGGTAGTGAGCAATTGAAATGTCATACTTTAAGAAGGACATTGAATGACCTGAGGGTGGGGGAGTGTCTGGAGAGAAGTGACCAGGAGGGAGAGGACACTGGAGGCTCAGGTACAGGAAACCAAGATGAACAGCCAGGAAAAGAAGCCTGGGCTGAGGGGGAAAGGCAGAGGCCCCAGGGTTGTCATGCAGTGGGCAAGACTGGGCTTCCTCTGCCCATCGACTGGGGAATGGCTGAACGATGGAATGGAATACTATTGTGCTATAAGAAATGATGAGCAGGCGGACTTCAGAAAAGCCTGGAAAGACCCATATGGTGTGATGCAGAGTGAAGTGAGCAGAACCAGGACAATGTTGTACACAGTAACAGCCATGTTGTGCGATGACTAACATTGATAGACTTAGGCCTTCTCAGCAACGCAAGGACCTAAGACATCTCCAGAGGCCTCGTGATGGAAAATGCTATCCACGTCCAAAGAAAGAACTACGGAGTTTGAATGCAGATTGAAGAATAATATCTGGGATTTTTTTCTTCTGTTGAGTTTTGTTTCTTCTTTCTGGTGGTTCCTCCTATTGGCTCTAATTATTCCTTACAACACTACTAATGTGAAAACATGTTTAATAGGAATGTACATGTGTAGCCTATATCAGATCATGGGGCTGTCTTGGGGAGGAAGATGGGGGGGAGGGGGAGAAAAGCTTGAAGCTCAGAAGCTTATAGAAGTGATTGTTGATAATTCAAAATAATTTTTAAAAAAAAGACGGCTTCCTGAATGCTGGAGTCCCATCTGAGGAGCGTGCAGACCACCTGTGAGGACCCTCTTCTGAGGCTTCTCCATCGCTGAGGGGCCTGGCTGGCTTTGGAGACCCCCTGGAGGGAGCTGGACTGTGTCTGGTCCACCCAAAGCCATGAAGGATGAGGACGGAGGCTGGGGAGGGGCAGGGGAAGGGGGTCACAGGGCTCGGTGGGCTGGCCTGCACAGGCGTCCTACCTCATCCAATCATGGATTTCAAGCCAAAGGTGCTTCAGAGACAATCTAGCCCAGCCCTGCAGCCACCGTCTGCCACATAAGGACCCTGAGGCCCAGGAAGTGAAGTCACTTGCAGCAGAGAAAGGGCTGTCCTCCGAGTCCGAGCCTGGCACACAAGGGCCAGATGTGCCTCAAGCTGAAACCCAAATCATGTTTACTAGCCTTCGTTGCCTAAAGCCTCCTCACTTCTGCCCTAGGCTGAAAGGCTCCCCAAGAACCTGGCAGAGGAGGACCGGGGGAGGACGCAGAGGCTGCTTGCTGAAAGAGGCTCTCTAGGGTGTGGATCGGCTGTGTGACAAAGGGAAGCTTCTGCTGGCCCCGCCTTGGGCCCTGAGCCCCTCCAGGCGGTTCCCCCACCTACCCGCCCACAGCCATGAAGGGCGAGGAGTGGGAGTGGGAGGACAGAGGTAGCAGGCGGACCCAGCTTCACATACAACTTTATTGACTCTTACTAGGGGGTCGAGGACAAAAGGCCAGGCTGCAGCCGACCCGCCTGTGGACAGCACTCGAGCTCTATTTGGTCTTGTTGCTCTTCATGGAGTCCATGAGCAATCTCAAGTGTTTCGGGAAGGGGAGCGGGGGAGGCAGGGCCTGGCTGGGACCCAGAGCCTGGGCCTTGACGAGCCCAGGGTTGGGGTACTCAGGGGAACCTGTTAAGGAACCGCTGGGAGGCCAGGGCTCATTGCTGGGCCACGTCTCAGAAGCACCCCTGGAAGGAGCGAGCCACATCTGGGAGGCAGTGGACTTTAACCACCAGGGGGTCCACAACCAGGGAAAAGGAGGTCTCGCCGTGGTATGGGGCAGAGTGACTAGGGTCGTGGGCTGAGGAGGTAGCTGAATGTAGGAAATGTCCGACCCAATCTTGGAGGAGATCCAGTCCAGAAAGTGCCAGGTGGATGTGTAGATGCCTGGCCGATAGGCTTGGGCACAGCCGGATCCCCAGCTCGTGACGCCAACCACCACATAGGTGCCGCTGTACGGGTCTTTGCACATGAGCGGCCCACCGCTGTCCCCCTAGACACGAGGAGCACCTGGTTCAGGACGGCCTGGCCTGGGGGGAGCTGGGGGCTGGGGTCTCACTCCACATTGAGGGGGAGGGGAATGGTGGGGGGGCCAGCATGAGACCCCGAGGGGAGTCCAGGAAGATGGAGGGTCCTCTGGGGTCTGTAGGCCAGGTTACCTGACAAGTGTCGATCTTTCCCTCTACGTAGCCAGCACAAAGGTTGCTTGTGTGAATGGCCCCATAGTACCAGCGGCTTCCATTGCATGTCCTCGTGTCAATCATGTTAACCTCGGCTTCCTGTAGTGTCTTAGGTGGGGTACCTGTCACAGCCAGAAGTCTGGGGTCAGCCAGCTGCTTGCCCAGGTCACTGCCAGCCCATCTGACCAGGGCAAATCTCTCCCCACCTGATATAAACTGCTGTGACCCAGGTATATCCCAGCAGTCCCTGAGGCCCTTCCCACTTTCTTCATTAAGCTCAGCCCAGGGGTGGCTGCTGCAGGCTTCCCACCCCTCCCCAGGGCTGAGAACAGAGGGCATCTGCTCTCAGACCTTCCCCTGCCCCACAAGAAGGCATCCCAGGAGCCCAGTGTCAGTGTGTAGAAGTGGGGGGTATACCTGGGGATATAGAATGGGGGAAGGAGGCAGGTGTAAGGGGGAGATGCCCTCACCCTGAAGGGTGACGGAGTCTGAAAGACCCCTGAGCAAACTGTGAGGTGCACCAGGCTCAGATAGTCCTAGAGAATGGAGGGCACAGTGTGAGCTCAGAGAGCCTCTTCCACAAGAGAGGTCCAGAGCCCAGGACCGCAGACAGATGTGGGCAAGCAGGAGGGGGTCTGTAGTGGAGAACCTCAGGGTTCTGTCCTTGGCTCTGTTCAGATCCACACTTTTATCCATGACTGCCTAACCAAAGCCACAGATGCTAAGTGGATCCAATGTGAAAGGTACAAGAGATCCCACCATGCTCTTTGCTGGCTACCCTACAGTAGGGTCCCAGGCACAGGTGAAAAATCATACAAGATTACTGGAAAAGGAGAAATGTGTGCTTGCTCACCAATGGATTTTTTGCCACTTTTGTGGCAGAGACAGGACTTTGGGATCACTTAAAACTTGCAGGCTGCCCTGAAATTCTGAAATAACACAACACTCAATATACATCAAGATTGGAACTCCAAAGACACCCAAGAAAGCAAGAGCAGGTCTAGCCCAGACATTCCCTCCAGAAGTGCACAGAGCCTGGGCCTAACAAAGTCTGAAGCTAGAAAGCAGGCTGAAAGGATCAGCAAACAAAAACCAAATCCCACCCATTGTGGTGCCAGGGACGCTCAAAACACAAACCCAGAAGAAAAAAGTGACTTCAAGCAAAACCTCAGAGAAAACAGAGCCTGGGCGTAAAGTCAGTAGAATTCCTGGAAGAGATGAAATGTTATTTTTTAAAAAAATTTTTTAAAAGTGAAATTGTAGCACTAGCAGAAAAAAAAAAAAGGAAGAGAAATGAGAGCTTTGGACAAAAGAACTAGCGAGGAAATTAACAGCTTAGCACAAGATGTACAAAATCTTGTCCAAACAAGAAACTCCCTAAAATTTAGAATGGATCTAATGATTCTGTGGGACAAGAAATATTAAATCAAAGTCAGAAGACTGGAAAAAATAGAAGACAATGTAAGGTTATCTCATAGCAAAAACAACTGACTTGGAAAACAGATAAGAAAAAATTCAAGAATTATCGGACAACTTGAAAGCCCTGATAAAAGAGTATAGATACATGATTTCAAGAAATCTTAAAATGGCCCAGATCCCTTAGAACCAGAGGGCAAAGTGAAATAGAAAAAAAAAAGCCATCAGTCACCTTCTGAACTGAAAACTCCCTGGAACATCACAGCCTGAAGCCAGAGGTTCTGGGCCAAAGAAAAAACACTGCAAGCAGACTGAAAGAAAGCATTTGAGTACCAAGGAGCACACACAATTTAGCAGCCACCACTATAAAGAAACAGAGAGCTTGGAATATGTTGTTCCAGAAGGCAAAGGACATGGGCTTCCACTCAGCCAACCAACAAACAGTGATGAAGAATGTGTACTTGGGACTTCAGAGAATGGTCCTTGACCTCAAGCAACTTCAGTTGGTGGAGGATAGGGGAACAGTGTGACCACAGAGCAGATGGTCTCAAAGAGATGGGAAGTAACACAAGGCAGCTCTGGGGCTTAGAGCTGCCTGGATCAGGAAACTCTTCCTGCTGAGGAAGGAGAGGGCAGCTCTAGGGTGAACCGGAGGAGGAAGAGCCTTCCAGTCCAGGAGCAGAACCTGGGCCTGGGTAGCAGGGATGCCGAAGGCAGCTGGGGGGACTCAAGAGCAGCTATGAAGGGCTGTCCCATGGCCCCCCAGCATTCTGGGGGCAGCTGTGTGCCCACCGAGGCCTGCCCTCAGCGGGCATGATCATACTCCCTCCAGGCTGCCCATGGCAGCGTCCATCGCCCACCAATCATTGTCTAGAGAGTAGAGGGACTTGTCACGAGGAGGTTCACTGTCCCGAAGGTGGAGTTCTCTCAACTACGTCTATTGATAGAACCCAATTTTCTTGGAGCACACCACCGTTCCCTCCAAAGATGGAGCCCATCCACATTGGCTACCACCCCACCTTTTTATCCTGCCAAGCTGCCAGGGCAGGGGGGTCTTCTTTGGCTTCTTCTCATGCTGCATTTGCACACAGACCCTTGGCTGGCTGGCTGACTTTTCTTCTTGCTCACTCCATGCCTAGCTAGGGCCCTCAGGCCCCAGCAGGCACGCTGTTGCTTACACTCCTCACACCCAACACGGTGACGTGGGTTTGCAGCTGCCATTGCATGGTGTCACTTGGCGTTTGGATTCTTCTCAGACTGTTCATTTTTCCCCATAAAAAAAGAATATGTGGATAACATGCAGCTTAGGAAGCCATTTTCTGTGGCAGTGAGAAGCTGGGCATCATTGAAAAGTGCTGCATAATCTCCTAAAATTGATATGGAGCAACCAATTCCTTTTGGATTCTGGGCTTGCTTCAGTGTTGCCCTGACACACCTATTCAAGATATGGCTGCTGAGGAACTGTTTGCATGAGCTGTCCATCCACCTTCATAGTGTAACCTAAGCATCATGCATTTACCATCCACTTTGTGCTTCCTACTAGAAGATTGGGCCAACCTCTTTTAAATGACTATGGCTTTCTTTCCATGTGAAATGGCAAACCACTCCAGTATCTTTGCTGAGAAAACCCCAAATGGGGTCAACAAAGAGTCAGACATGACTGCAAAATAACCCAACAAAGACATTTCATTCAGGAGGCTTTGTAGTGTTACAAGTTAATAACACCTTCTCAAAAGAGCAGCATTTGGACAGCCCCCCTACCCCTAGACAATCTCTCTTCTCTTTAATCCTGCTGCCTAATTGTCCTTTAATCCAAAAACAAAGGAGACAGCAGAATCATCTGGTCTTTATACCTTAGACAGATCAGTTACCGTCAACACGTTGACTGCTACATGAAGTCATCTGCAAAACCTTTCCTTCTCCCGACAGACATTTGCACAAATCTTCCTCAGTATGATGCCCTTAGATATGAAAAGAAGAAGTGCACCTGGGCCAGGAATTGTTGCTGGTGCAGGGCAACAGGCTGGATGCTGAATTCTTAGAGAAGTCTTGAACACGTGTGTTATTAGAGGGTTGGTTCATTAGTGGTTAGAAAGAAAAGCAGAAACCATTGAGGGTGAGCGTGCTTTCATCAAGTACACGTCATGACCAAGCAGGAGGACTTCAGAAAAACCTGGACAGACTTACATGAACTGATGCGGAGTGAAGTGAGCAGAACCAGGAGAGCATTGTAAGCAGCAACAGCAATATTGTACAATGAACAACTAAGAATGACTTAGCTATGGTCAGCAATACAAGGATCCAAGACCATCTCAAAGGACTGATGAAGAAACATGCTGTCTGTCCCCAGAAAAAGAACTTAGGTTGCCTGAATATAGACTAAAGCATACTATATTACTTTCTTTCTCTCTCTCTTTCTTCCTTCTTCCTTTCCTCCCTCTCTTCTTTTCTTTTTCTCTTTCTTTCTTTCTTTCTTTCTTTCTTTTACTTCCTCCCTTCCTTTTTTTCCTTTCTTTCTGTCTTTCCTTCTTTCCTTCCTACTTTCTTTCTTTCTCTTTCTTCAAGTCTTCTTGCACAAAATGACTAATATGGAAACGATTTACAAGATTGCATGTAAAATTGTACTTACATGTATAACCTATATCAGATTGTTTACTGTCTCAGAAAGGGGGTACATGAGGGAGGGAGGGGTAGAATTTGAAATCCAAAACTTTAAAAAAAAACAATGAATGTTAAAAATTGTTTTATATGCAACTGGGGGAAAATAAAATATTATAAAGATAAGTCATGACAAATTAGCTTTGCTTCCTTTGTTGACAGGATTACAAGACAGGCAGATCAGGAGATTCCATGTGACATTTGTAAAGGACTGCAGACCATCCTTCTGGACAAACTGGAGAGATATAATCTCACTGGCGGTTCCATTATATAGGCTCTAACCTGACTTAGTGACCTCACGAATGGATTCATGTTCGTGTGGAAGGAGGTCTCCTGTGGAGGACCTCAGGGGTACGTGGCTGACCTTGGGTGAAGGTGTAGAAGGCAGGCTTCTCAGATATGCAGATGCCCCACAATGGGGGAAGAGAACACACTCACAGGATAATGGAATCAGGACTATCTGAGGCCACCCAGGGAGGCAGGGGCAAAGCTGGGACTCCAGGGCAGGTTTCTGTGATGCCAGTCCATTGAGCCAGCTCTGTCCAATGCTATGGAGAGCTCTGGAGCCAACCGGGGTTCTATATAGATGTGAATGATGAGGAGTGGTAGGGATGGGGGGGGGAGTTGAAATTGATAAACAGCCATATGTCTATTCCACCTCGGATAACTCAAGTGTCAGGGTCTTCTGATCACAGGGCAGGCTTACTATGTTAAGGGGGTCTGTGTCCACCCCCTGAGTTTACAGCAAATGCTTTGAAGAGGAAAAACCAAGACGCAGTGTTTGAGGATGGGTCTCTCAGGGAAGTTGGCTCCATCTTGTGGAAGTGAATTAACGAGCTTGTGGGCACAGCAAAGTCTGCCAGGGAAGCTGGCCCAGACCCAAAGAGTCAACACTTAGGGCTGTGGAGTCATCCTGCATCCCCATGATCCCAGAGGTCCCCTGTGGTTACTTACCACCACCTTCCATGCCACCCCATGATCCCCATCATTCTTATGGCCCCTGAAGCCCCCTCTTGTAGCTGCCATGACCCCCTCAACTTTGCCAATGCCCCATCCCAAGCTTACCACCTTCCGCTGTGAGCCCCCAGCCAGCAATGGCACACTTCTCCTTAGACGTAAATAGGGGCTCGCTAGTCCGAGGCAGGCAGGCAATGCGGATCAGGTCCCCACACACTATGGGTCTGTCCAGCTGGACCACTGCAATATCATTTTTCATAAAGTGCTCATTATACTGTTCATGTAGGATAATCTTGACAGGCTTTCGCTCCTGCACTCGAGAGTCCAAGGCGCCATGGATCCACCCGATCTGAATATCCCGAGCGGCAATCATAAACCGCCAGAGATTATAGTTCCTGGGGAAAGAATCAGTGAGGACCCAGAGTTACCTCAGGCAGGGCAGTGAGGGAGGGAGGGAGGGAAGGCAGAGAAGAGGAGATGAGAGGGGGCAGAAAAGAGGGAAGAAAGGAGAGAGAGAGGGAGAGAGAGAGAGAGAGAGAGAGAGAGAGAGAGAGAGAGAGAGAGAGAGAGAGAGAGAGAGAGAGAGAGAGAGAAACCAGGACCCCTCATCAAGGGGATGCCCAGGCAGGGCTCCCCCAGAGACAGAGAGACAGAAAAAGAGAGAGCCCCCCCCCCCGGGAAATGGATCACTCTTACCCACCCCACCCCCACCCCTCGGTCCCAGTTCACTCACTTGGCTTGATCTCCAAAGCAATGAGCAGCAGTGAGAACCCAATTCGGAGCGATGAGGGAGCCGCCACATATATGTTTCCTGTAACTACCATTCCAATACTGTACCTGTATACTGACTATCCAGGGCCAAGCCCCTTGGCTCGCGTCTGCGCCCCCAACGATCCGATTGCCGATGTTGCTGACCAGTGGCCTCTGTCCACAAAGACCCCTGGTGGGAGAAGAGATCATGAGGTGACCAGGGAAGGGAGGGTCACAGATTGTGGCCCCCACCACCACTCGGGAGGGAAAGGAGGAGGGGGGGCCTGTCCGTGGCTCCCCCCCTTCCCTGTGTCTCGACGTACGAGCATGTGTTCTGAGTGTCAGCCCCCCCAGTCCACAGGAGGGACAAGAGCACAATCTGCCAAACCATCTCAATCACCGTCCTCCTCCAGTATGAACTGAAAGCCTCGAAGGGTTCCCAACTGAACACTGCCCTGGCCAATCACAGGCCTGAGCCTCTGTGATGCAAGAGTAGAATGTGGGGGGAGGGACCCGAGGGGCCTCACGCGGCCCCCTCCCCCATGGGCTCTCTGAAATCCATAAAGCAGTTGCCATACAAAAGCCCCACGGGGTGTGTGGTCCTGTTGAGGTTTGAGAGGGTTAGGGATACGGGACCCCAAAATAGCGACACACTCTTCAGGTCCTGCTCACATGAATCTGGAACCTAGGAAACCTTCTTTCAGCTAAAGACAAGGTTTATTAAAGATTGATAATCGTTTAAGATCAGTTGAGCCCCAGTAACAGCCAAAAACCTGAATTAATCTCTTCTCTTTGAGTGAACTAAGAATGCCCCTTCCTGTGTCAACAGCTGAAGCTGACCAAGAGCATTCTTCTGCTTATGACCACCAAGGCAACTTCAACCCTGACACTACCTTGAATAAGGGGACTTTTCTTATTTTGGTACTTTATGGACATATGCTATGTTGTGTCATGTTAATGGTAAAGGAAACACAGATATCCTGGGTCTATCATTTACACTTTGACATTCTTCTATCGTATTGTATTTACAAGCTATTCAGTTAAGAAAATTCCTTTCTCATGCTATGGTTAAACATATATGGAGACTGTAAATCTGAGTAACACAGGCATCCTGAGTCAGGGTTTAAATGTCCTGCTAAAATGGCTTGCTTGAGTCAGAGTTAAAGCTCTGCCTCCCCGTAACATGTTACATGCTGCTAACTTAAGGGAATAAAACAATACGAATTTACTCATCACCTTAGCTTGTTGTCTCTTTAACCAACTTTCAGGTTGACAGCAATGGTGCCTGTGACTCGAATGGAACTGAAGAAGTAGGTGAAAACACCAGCCCACCCCAGTAACGCTAGTGTCTCAGGTGCCTCAGGATCCATTTTTTTTCCTGGAGTCCCAAACTTGACAGAGTTGGATAAGTGTCTCCTATTCCCAAGCTTCCATGGACCTCCCACTACTTTGGTTGAAGTGTGAAAGAAAATCCCCTTTAAGCTAGCTCTGGGGTTAGGGATCAAGTCGAAGTTCAGAAACTCCAGCTACTATATCTGTTAGATCCCCTCTGGTAAGGATCAATCTAGCGAAATTGGCTATGGGTCAGTCAGAAACTAAAACTAGAAATCTGGCTAACAAGACCACCGCCTCTTTTATGTGAAGCCATGGCCAATCTGGTCATCACAAGTACTGCCAACACTGATGTCAGCTAACTAAAGATAGCCCCGAATTATGTTGGCCACAATGGGGTTCTTTTGACCCATCAAAGTTACTTTATCTTAAAACCGAATTAAGTTTAAAGGCCAACAAAACATCTAGCCAGGAGTGGGAATGTTTTCATTGTTAGGCTGCCCAGAAGACTGAGGGAGAAGGAAAGGCAGAAGCTTCTTCCCTTAAGGCTCGCAGAGCCACTTCAGCACTCTATCCCAGGCCCCAAATAATCCCTTTCCTCCTGCCCTTTCCCCTAAAGACTATGGTCCTGATGGGGATCCCTGAACTTAACTTCATTGGGATTTGCCCCTTTAAATTTGCAACCTCAGGGGCACTCTGAGGAAGGCTCACAAGATCCAGTTATACTATCTGGTCTTGAGTCCTTGCAAATTCCCAACCCCACTGCCTTGGAATAATAATAAATAGCCAATTTGTGTTGGGAGTATCTAACAAGCCTCTAATTCCCTTTCTCTGTCATTAAGTGTGCACTGTGTTTGTATTGTATTTGTCCTGTCAGTTTGTCTGTCAGTGTGTGTTTCTGTGTCTGTATCACGTGTGCTGTGAGTGAGTCTATTACCTTATAAGATTTTAAAGGCAGCCAGAGACTTATAAAGGCTGCAGCTAGGAAAACAACAAACCAGTAAAACTCCTTTCCTTGTGGTTCCAGGCCTGGCCAGATTAGACCTAGAGTGAAAAGCTAGATACAGTTAAAGACAACTTAGCAGATTCTGGAGGGTTTGAGATTAATCATCAAGAAGTTGGGAAATTAATCATTTTGGGATTGTTGGAAAAAAACTTCTGAGATTTGGGGGTAATTCCAGGAGCTCACCCTCTGCTAAAACACCTCCTCCCAATCCTGATTCCTCAGCATTCCCCACTCTCTCCTCAGAGATAAGCATCTCAGTATGGGGACTGTACAAGAGAAGAGAATGCTGGAGAACTGTAGGGAAAACTTAGATCAGCCTTCCCCACCTGGCAAAAGTAGAGGAGGGGCAGCTATCACAGTAGTGATAGCCTGCTATCAGCCCTGCGCCCCTGGGCACCTTGCAGCCCACCCCTCTAGGCAAGGCCTGGGAGTAACTTCCAGGTTCAATACATTCTGCCCACCCTGCCCCAGCAGTTGCAAATGGCATCAGCCTCAGTAAATTCTGCAGCTGTGGGGAGGGGAGGGGTGGACAGGTCAGAATTATGATGAGATTCCCTAAGCCCTGCCACCGAGAATGATCACCACTAGGAAGGCCCTGGCACCAGTCACCCCAGCCCCTGGAAGGCCTGGCAACAGCATTATGAGGTGAGAAGCCAACTTCTGCTCTTGGTGAGCCCCATACTTCTCTGTTCCAGTTTTAGAATTTATGGCAAGTTATTTTATCTCTGTTTGTCCTGTTTCCTGATTCGTAAAGGGAAAAATAATAATGGTTGTTGTTATGGGGATCAAAATGATATAGTGATTGTAAAGTGCTTAAAACAATGACTGGCATATGTTAGACGGCATTATTATCTCTCTAATTTAATGTAATTGTTTCATACCTGATAAATTTGAAGTGGTTTTTAAATACCAAGAGTAATAAGATCAATAATTTCTATATGTGATAATCTGGAAATGCAACTGATGTCATCTGAAGTTTATTGTTTATGTTATTACTATGTTTCTAAATTATACTGTATTTCTAAAACTCTCTTAGATTGTAAAATGTGAGAGACCATTGTGAGGTAGAAATTGGGCATATGGATTAGTCTTTTAAAAGGATGTGATAAAATTTGATAATTTGAAAACTGTTATTTAATGAGGTATATTTGGTTAAGCAGGTAATTAATTGGTTCTGTTTCAAGTTTTAAATACATAATTGTTATGTATGTTATATTCTGAGATTTTTAATATGGTGTAATCTGGTAAACAAATTGTATCAGCTATGTTGTTGAAAAAGCAATTTCTCTTATAATCTAGAGATGTTAGATCAAGAATTGTACCCCCCCCAAAAAATCAGGGAGAATGAATGGGTTAGAATAAACTTCCAAGTCTTATTCTCCCTTAAGAGGAAGTTTCACCTAAAATTCTTATCAACTCTGTGTAAAAGTTTCCTGTGTTGTGGAATTCCTGAGTAAATGAGAATCCTCGGGTTGTGTTAATCTGGAGATTTATGGACTACCGCCATGACTGTCTGTGTGAGATTCCAGAACGTCACAGTTTTTCCTAATTTCTAGAGATATGTTTAAAGAAAAAAGGAGAAAAAAATGCTTGATAATAATATTTGTTATTGTGATAAGGCTAATTTAATGGGTATGTTCTTCACGCATTATAAAAACCGAATTTTTTTCTTCATTACAAACACCTTTTTGAGTAAGGAACTTGATGATATCTAGGACTTCTGTAATAACTAGGAACTTACTTGATTATAGTAGTTGGGGAATTTATTTATGCTACTTCAGGACGTCTTACACCAACTTCATTTTGATGAATTCCAACTCTAAAGGGTTATTTCTACTTTAAGGTAGAAAAGAAAGATCTCTATCATTTTAAAAGTTTCCAGCTAATGTTCTTCATAAAAGTTTAGTGATTATTCTTCTTAACATCGGGATAAATTTTAAACTGTTTTTAAAGAAGGGAAATACTTTTAGAAGAAATGTCTTATTTGATTCTTTTTGACCTAAGCAAGAGTTAGTGTTTGAACTTATATGTATGTGGTTCAAATCCTGAGGTATCTCATTCTTCCAGAGTGAGTATAATTAGAGAATAAACAAGCTTGTGAACAAACATAAATCCATCAACTTGTGAGGCTAAAGTTAGTAACCTCTTTGTTTTGCTTAAGGAATGGGATTCCAGTACAGATAATCTTGTTAGTGAAGAGTAGTAACTTATGAACTTTTTTGTGTTAACTTAATGGGAAATCTAATATTTTTAATCTGGAATTAGAACGTGTAGAAATTTATGCAAACTGCACAAGACTCACCTTAAGATGTTCCCATTGTTTAAAGGAATTATGAGAGCAATTGTACTTTTCTGTGATCAATCTCTTACTGTTATCAATGTGAGATTAAATGTTTATTATCTAGGATATGTGACTTTATGGGACAGCAATTTACTATTGTTTTAAGCTTTGATTACAGGGATAGTTTTCCGAGTTGTCATGAAGCCAATAGGAGAATGGCATGTGCTACAGGCTGCGAACTGATAAAGGTGGATGTCTGTGCCTGGAAGAGTTTTGAGGATGACCTTGGACCTAGCCTAGGTAGGATCTTCCTGACTCTGTTTCCCAATTGTGCTATTTCCTTTCTGAAAAGGAGAATTCCCCACCTGATTAATCCTGAGTCTTGCTTTTAACATCCAGTGACTACATGATTGTCTATCAAATATGACTCATGCCTGAATCAAATAGATCTAAGGCAGTCCGTTCCTTCTGATATAATATATGACATTGTCCCTCTTTTTCTTTTATAGCAAATTTCTATGATCAAGAAGCTCTGTAAGCACAGTATTAAATTGTTAAATAATAGATGGATACTGGAACATCTCTGAGTTACCATAATAGGATGCAAGTATGAATAGCTTACAATTTTAACTTGCATTCATGGCCAAATAATAATAATAATAATATAGGGATAACATCCTCCTAAGGAGGAAATGATTAGACAAAGTAATAAGACAAAGATGTAATGTGATAGATGTCTAATTAAATAGGATAGCAAATTTTGAGAAAAGCAACAGGATTAGATGGATTCCTCTAAAAATTATATGCAGATATATATGATT